TGGCAGATATTCTATGGGTACTAAAAGCTAGCAATCTTGACTATAATATTTTTAATAATCTAGTTGAGAAGGATGTCATGTTTGGTAGGGTGGAGGGTCAGAGAGAAAGAGGAAGACCACCAGCGAGATGGACTGACAAAGTGGCAGCATCAATGGGCTCAAGCATGACAACGATAGCGAGGTTGGCCCAGGATTAGGTAGTATTTCATTCTGTAGTGTGTAAGGTCGGTACCAACTCGATGGCACCTAACAACAACAAGTTGAGAAATATGTGAATATGAATTACTATAAGCATTACATACAGCATGATATATATACTGCTAAATAATGCCTGTTGTTATTAAGTGCCAATGAGTTGGTTCTGACTCATATTGACCCTATACAGAGTTTCCAAGGAGCAGCTGGTGGGTTTGAACTGCCAATCTTGTGATTTGCAGTCCAGTGCTGATCCTATAGCACCACACCAGGAGTCCTAGGCACTTAAAAGAAGAGAATTATATATGGATATAGGATACTAATTGCGAGGTGACTATATATATAATGAAATGAGGTGCACTATTAGTGTGGCCCAGGCCTCAAGAAGACAGGGAGAGTTTGGACTTTGAAGACTCTAAGCAATGAGGAGCCATCTGAGGTAAGGGAACAGCATAGGCAAAGAGTTCTCACTTGTCTCGCTGTAGAGGAAGACGAGAGACCACCTTAGTTCTTCTGGCAGTGAGAAGTAAGAGAACATGCCAAAGAAGAATCTATAGGAGTTGATGAAAAGGAGGGAAGGAGCAGTTAAAAATAATTTTCCTACTGGAAAACTGGCAGTTTGGAAAAGGAGAAGATAATGTTAAATTTGAAGTGTTAATAAAATATTTAAGTGGTAAACTTGGTAGAAAATTGCTAGTACAGAATAACCCTATGAAAGAAGAGACTATAGTAGAACACAGTGGAATCAGCCCAGAAAAGAAACACCAAAACAGCAAAGAATTAAGAAGGTACACAACATGGAATAAAGGCTACAGAAAGAACATCTAAGAGAATGGAGGATGCCAGTACAGCATCAGTTGAGAACTTGGAAGGCAAAACCCAAAAGGTTAGTGGCAAGAAAACAAAAGCAATGAGAGCCCTTAATCAACTCATTTGTCCAGAAAGTTTGCCTGAGAAATAAGAATGAGAAAAATCAGATGGTAGCACATCAAGTGGGTTATTTGTTTGGGATGATTTTCACAGAAGAGAAAGAATTAAGGATGACAGAAGATCAAGAGCAATAGATGAATACTTTCATTACCCAAATCATCCCAGTGGGCTCAGTATGTCTAGAGTTTTGTACTCTGTGTAGATCATCTTTTAAAAAACAGGGAGCAAAGTTGCAGCAGTCTAGAGCAGTCATGATGTGATTTCCCATACACAGTATACAATTTATATAAATTAACTAGTTAGTCAGCTTCTTTCATTAAATAATCATAGAAAATGTACCTAATTCCAATTCATCACCTTACCATTACTACTGCTATTGCCTCTGTGTGGTCCTTCAGTAACTTCAACTGGATGGCCTCCTACAGTAAGTACATGCTCCCTTCCTCTTAACCATGTTAGGATGACCTTTTCTAGAGCCACGTGTTTCTCTTTGACTTAGCGTAGGGTTGCTTTTTCACCAACACCTTTTAATAACACAGCATCTGCTTTTTCTACGGTCATTTCTCCTAATATTATAGCATCTGTGCATTCTATTTCAAACAGCTTTTTTAAAAATACTTTTTATTTTTCTCTCCTGTTTTTACAATCTTCATGTCATTCTGACTTCCATGCACTGTTTGTATAGAATTGGCCTCATTATAAACATTCTTGCAAGTTGCTTCTCATCTTTTTGCTAGATAACCCTCTAAGACATCCAAGCACCACAAAGAGCCAAACAAAATTCTTTTGTTTCTACTGTTGCTTCCTTTTCCTTTTAGTCCATTCTCATTGGTAATTATAGTGCTAATTTTTTATTTCTAAAATGTGTTCCTTCTTTTTTAGAGTTACAAATTCCTAATAGGTTCTTTACTTTAAAAGCTCTTAACTAGGTACATAGAGTTTTTTTCAAACTCTAGAATGACTCATTTCTCTATATGGTTCTTTTCCCTTCCATTTCACCAATTAGTTTAATTCTTTACTGGAGACAATTAAGTCCAAAACAAAAATGCTCTTTTTCGCTCTCTCTACAAACTAAGACAAAAATGGTTAAATGTGGTACTTTTTAGACATTCTGGAACAGAATCTAGCAGATATCTAAGATAAAGTCCTCTGTATGCTACATACATATAAAAAAGAGAACACCCCACTATCATTAGTATTAAATATCAAACCTGAAATTTTGCAAGTAACAGGAGACCTCTTTGCAAATGACAGAATGAGAGTGGCAACAGTTTTTACTGCTCTTATAACAGCAAACACAATGATGTTTACACACGGTAAAAAAAAATCCACACACATCAACAAGACCAACAAATGTAATAAATGAATTTCTTTAAGTAAAATAAAAGTGTTTCTGATACATATGGAGTAAGAAACATCTGATTCAATAATAATAATAATAAAATCATGGACTTCATTCTTCAAGTATATATTAACAATACATGAAACATGGCATTACTCTATTATCTTACGATTTTTTTTTTTACCATGTCTCCTTGATGTGAAAGCTCTTCTTACATAATCTGAAACTAGCTAAGAAACTACTTGTATTTTGAAATCTCTCCCTCCCTCCCCTCCTTCTCCTATATACCTCAAGAATGTGAGGGCTAGTTTCATTCTTTTGTTTTCTACAAAATTGTACTTTTAGTTCCTTAGACTTCATGGCGCTCTATCTACCTGTAATTATGCCGCAAAAGCATTAGAAACCGCCAGTGTAAGGTCAGCAACAGACAAGATAGTAAAAGGCCTATTTGTGGTCTTGAACAGCTACAAAAGGGCAAAGCAGCATTGGCAGAGTTCCTTCTGCCTCGGGCTAGGCATTACAAACCCCAACAGCAGGCTGTGCTTTTAGAAAAGCCCCTAGGACACAGCATTATTTCACTGCCCTAAAAGCCAAGGGCTATCACTTAAGTCTAAGAAGACTCACCAAAAAAAGATCACCCTGGAAAAGCACAGGATGATCTTGGCTAACAGCAACTGGCTTTCCAGACCCTAAAGAACCCAGCTAGCATCCAATCCCTCCTTTCTAAAAAGACAGCAAAGCGAAACCACCATCGACTCCTTATGGAAGGCCAGATGCTATTTCAGTTTCCAGTTGGAAATATTGCTCCAGTTAGTTCTAAAATGTTTTTGTTTTGTTTTTTTCTTACCAAAATAATAAACAGTATTATCTGGGTTTTACCAAGAACAACAGAAAAGAGATGCTACTAAGGAGACATTCTTTCTGCAATGGGACTCTCAGAGAACAGGAAATACACGTTCCTTATGTGTGTAAGGCTATGTAGAAGCTTTGAAATTCCCTGCGTGAGGGACAATTACTGTCTTAGGACAAAGTCAAGCATGGTGTATTTGCAGGCTTTTATAACTCAACGTTGATTAGATGCTTTTAATCTTTACACAATGATCTTTGAACTGTACAATACTGGCTCTTTAGTGTAAATTGGTGTTTTTTACTTAGTGAGCTAATGCAATTGCAGCAAAGTAGTATATTTGTATTCTATCCAGTGACAACATTAGCATATAGTGTAAATTTACTTTGGTACTATGGACATGAGACTCAGAAAGGCTGCAAGCTTCCATGAAACCAGTGAATGGATCACAAAACTATAGGTGTTATTGAAGACAGACTGATACGAAAGACACCTCACAAAGTTCCATTTTTCCATGAACTTTTGAAAGCCTCATCATATATATAGTCCCTGTACTCAAGAGTTCTGCAGTGGTGCTGTAGGATGAGCACTGGTCTGACTCTAAGGTAGGTTTGAACCACTAGGTCAGATGGTTAAAATGAACCAGGTGCTCCCTGGAAACCCTACAGAGGGTTGCTATGAGTTGGAACCGACTCGACGACACTTAACAGCACACATTTAGTATAAAGTTGGAAAGTAACCACCCTTCTGACAACAGTGACAACTAAAGTTTCTCTTAAGAAGTAAATTTACTACACCCGGAGGTGAAAGTGCTTCCACACCTACGAAAGATCTAGTCCCAAGTTTTAAAAAAAACAAATAGACAAACTTCTCAGATGCCAATAAAATTCAATTCTAATTTTTCTTGCTATATAGGTATTCTGCTGATACTAATAAATACTATGTGTCCAAGGACAATAATTGGAAATGCTTTCATTTTTGTGATTCGGGTTCAGAGTGTCTGATACTAACTTCTAAACAGCAACTAGCAACAATCAAATTCTTTTGGAGTCCCTGAGGTGTGCACATGGTTACTGCGTTCAGCTCCTTAATGCAAGGTTTGCAGTTTTGAGTCCATCAAGAGGTACCTTGGAAGAAAGTTCTGATGAGCTACTTCTAAAAACTCAGCCACTGAAAGCCCCATGGAGCATGGTCTTGCTCAACTTGATGGCAACTGTTTGTTTAAACTTCTTTACAATATTACACACTTGATGTTGTTAAGTGTCATCGAGTTGGTCCCAACTCACAGTGACCCTGTATAGGGTTTCCAAGGCTATTAAATATTTGTGGGAGCAGAAAGCCTCATTTTTCTCCCATGAAGTAGCTGATGGGCTTGAAGTACCAACTTCGTGGTTCGCAGTCCAGCACTTAGCTTATAGAGCACTATATTACTCTATAATATGATCAAAGAAATATATGGTGGTGGTGGTGGTTACATGCTGTAGAGTCAGTTCTGACTCATAGAAACCCTGTACAGGGTTTCCGAGGCTGTTAATCTTTTCGGGAGCAAAAAGCCTCATGTTTCTCCCTCAGAGCAACTGGTAGATTTGAACTACCTACCGTGTGGTTAGCAGCCAAGCTCGTAATTCACTACCAGGGTGCCTCAATATACAGCAGCTGAAAATAATACAAACAACTACTACTTACGGCTGGCACAGCTTCACTAGGTCTTGGTCTGTGGTGTTGGGAGGCAGTCCTCGGATATAGAGGTTCGTTTTACTTAGTTGATCCCATCCTGAGTTGCTACTGCTGCTACTGTTGTTATTACTGCTGGTGGTGCTGGGGCTGGGAGGGGCCATGGGGTGGGCGGGGACTAGAGACTGCTGAAAAAACAAAGACAGGGAGGAGAGTTACTTAGATGTGAGATATCTAGTAAGATTCAAAGATCTCAAAATACAATGAATGACATTATCAAGAGTTCACACAGGTTATCTTAAACTACTCGGATGTAGGATGTACAGACTTTAACATATACCTTAAAAAAGAGTTGTTCATTCTACAAAAAGAAGCTCCTCCAAACCCCGGTGAAATAAATTTAATAACAGAATTTTACTGAGTAGAAACATTCTCTAGCATGCATGCATATGACTAGATTTATTTAAGATTAACTTCGTCACACAGTTTAAGGAACATACCTAATGAGACTCCAGATTAACTTGCACAAAGTATTAATATAATTTAAAAATAGAGTAATTTAGAAATCACTAATTACAAAACTTTTGAAAAGATTTTCAAATTCTGAAGAACGGTTGATTCAGGCTTGTTGGTAATTTTACTAAGACTGATTCTTAAAAAAAAAAGATTAACCAAGACCCTCCAAAAGGGAACTTTGAGTTCTAAGGCAGGCACATGGCCTCATTAAGACATCTGGAGAAGATTCACAGGCATGCTGCCTCTCACTTTGGCGAACCTTGTGAAACTTAACCCCTGTGAGACCAGTGTAGCAATTGGAAACTGTTCCAGGCCTAGCAGCAACCAACACAATTTTTATAAATGATGCGACTGAGGGTCCAGGGTGGTGTTACAACAAGCAGCCACCTATGAAGAATGTTTGAAATGGCACTTACACCAGAAAGCTCTGCTAACCCATCCAAAGAAACCACAGCTTTCTGACTCGATGCCACCCACGGCTTTTGATGAAGCTAAATGGCTCAGCTTGAGACACAATTGAGCACACCCCAAGGATCCTCAAGGCAAAAATGCTCAGCAATGGCAAGGCAGTACAGGAATTTTCACCAAATCAACTAATTAATAAATAAACTAACCCAAAGACAACTTGTATTCAGTTAACAGTTTAAAGACATACAATTAAAATCACTAGATAGTCAAGAGATATTTCTAATCTTATAGCTGCAGCTTTATTAACATAAGTAAAAAAACAAAGCAAAACAAAAAATCTAGGCATATGCGAGGAGGATTCAAACAGGTTAAGGAAAAATTCCATTATCGTTTCATTCCATTTTTCCATGAACTTTTTGAAGCCCACTTGTATAAGACAGAATTAAACATCTTGCAATAAATTTTAAGATCGCTGGCAATAAATATAACTCAATTTACCTTGTTATTAACATCAACTGTCCACTACAGAGTCCTGGCTCTGTACCCAGTTTCTTCCATAGTCACCTTGATTTTAGTGCTACAACACAGTGGGATTCTCATTAATTTAGACATGCATCCATTTCTTCTGGCTCTATACTATACTGATTCTTCTTCCTACAACCCAGCATTCTTACTAAGACTTTGTCCAAGTCCAAAGGTCATTTTATCCAAAGAGCCTTCACTTTTAGAGAAAGCACAGCAAAAAAATATACAAAATGCTATTTACTTGCTGAAGTCTGAATCTGAACTAGGAGCATCAGTATTACTTAATTTAAAATTTAAAAGTGCCTGAGATCACATCCTACACCTTAATCTATCTGGCATATGCCCTTAATGAGCACTTGTACTGATAACCTTTCCAACAGATTCATGTGTTTCTTTTAAAAGTCTACAAGTAGTGATAGCGTTGTTGTTGTTGTTGCTGTCAGGTGCCATCGAGTCGGAACCGACTCATAGCGACCCCATGCACAGCAGAACGAAACAATGTTCAATCCTGGGCCAACCTCACTACCGCTGCCACACTTGAGTCCATCAATGATGCCACCTGGCTGATTCATCTCGTTGGGGGTCTTCCTCTTTTTCTCTGACCCTCCAGCCTACCCAGCATGACATCCTTCTCCAACGATTGTTTCCTCCGGACAATATGTCCAAAGTAGGAGAGACGAAGCTTAGCCATCCTGGCCTCCAAGGAGCACTCTGGCTGCACTTCTTCCAAAACAGATCTATTGGTTCTTTTGGCAGTCCATGGCACTTTCAGTATTCTCCTCACACCACAACTCAAAGGCATCAATTCTTCTACGATCCTCCTTATTCACTGTCCAGCTTTCACATCCATATGAGGCTATTGAAAACACAATGGCCTGGGACAGGCGCACCCTAGTCCTCAAGCTGACATCTCTGCTCTTCAGCAGAGTGGTTACAAATTGATAGCGTAGTGGTTACAAATTGGGCTGCGAACCTCAAGGTCAGCAGTTTGAAAACACCAGCTGCTCCACAGGAGAAAGATGAGGCTTTCTGCTCCCGTAAATATTTACAGCCTCGGAAACCCTGTACAGGGTCACTATGGGTCAGAACCGACTCCACAGAACTTAACAACAACAACAAAGACTGCTTTCTAGATCTAACCCCTGTCTCTGCTGCAGGTGGCACCTCAGACATCTAGTTCCTAACCAGGGCTTGTGTTCTTTCTCCAAAGTCACTCAGTACAACTGCTACTTAATCACCAGGAGCTCAGGTGTGGAACTGGAGAGTGGCACTGGACTGCTAACTGCAAGGCTGGTGGTTCAAACCCACCAGTCACTCTCGGAAACTCATAAAGGGGTGCTATGAGTCGGAACCAACCTGACAGCACTTATACACAACTTAATTATCTAATCCTTTCCCATATTAGTTTAAAACAGAAGCCCTGAGAAAGAACATATACTTTTGCCTCTTGTCCCAAGGTCTTGCTTTACTTAGCAAGCTAGCAGCTGTAGTCAGAGCAAGACTAAATTTTTTCTTACATCAACTTTTGATTACTGGCTGAGTAAGAGTATCTAACGTAGTGGTTACGAATTGGGCTAAGAACCACAACAAGGTCAGCAGTTCGAAACCCCCAGTTGCTCTGCAGGAGAAAGATAAGGTTTCTGCTCCCGTAAAGATTTATAGCCTCGGAAACCTTGTACAGGGTCACTATGAGTCAGAACCGACTCCATGGCACTTAACCAACCAACACAAGCCACACCATAGCTCACAGAAGGACCCAGTGGGCTATGAATTGGGCTGCTACGTTTAAATCTACCTGCCTCTCTGCATGAGAAACATGAGGCTTCCTGCTCTGGTAAACATTTATTTACAGTCTCAGAAATCCTATACAGGCTCATTAAGGGCCAGAACAGAGTCAATGGCACACAACCATCACCACCATCATAGCTACTGGACTATGAAACATGGTCACATGGGGAAAGGCTTGGAGAAGGAAGTCTGGAAGACACTATAACCTTCCAGTGGGATTCCACCAGCAAAAGGCAAAAGAACCAAGAGATGTTCTGGGTGCATTCCAACTCTGGATCAGCACTAGCCTTAGTTTTTGTCTACTGTGGTCTTGGTGATTAAAAGGAACATTTATGGGTATTATTTAGTTTGAGATGATCTGGACATAAAAGTAGTAGATTTTTACTTAGTATTTACTTCTGTCAAAGAAGAAGAACTGTGATTTACATTTCAAAATGTACATAGCTGATTTAATATGCTTGACAGGCTCTTGTATTTATTACAGTAATATTTCCCCCTTCTGTAAAGTAGGTGGGGAGCATCCATAGCCCTGTTCTTCCTGCCTCTCTCTAGCCTGCCCAATGGGAAGAGGAAATCGTTCAACGCTCAGGATCCCAGGTGGAAGAGCGGAGTCCTGAACCTATCCTAGAGGGCTACTGGCCTGTGCTGAATCCTGTAGGACGAAGTTCACATTTAAAATGTATCCTAATATTAACTATTGTTCAGAGCCGGTGAAAGAGAAAACACCGCAAGGAAAGAACGAAAGTGCTCCAAGATGGTCAATTTTTTATTTTCTAGTACAAAAAAATAAATCTCATTTTTTTAAAAATTTACTGAAATGAAAAATTTTATACCTAAAAAGACTGAAACACAAAAATAAAAGATTCAAATACAATAAAGCTGGTTAACTCCAAAATATGCTTAATGGGTTGAAGTACTACATGCTTTAGTAGTAAAAGTAATATTTAGGGTCATATATTACATGTTTGCTGAATGCTAGACACTATCAATTGCATTATATGCATCTTTCTTATAATCCAATGAAAAAGACACATTAATGTTTCCCATTTTGCAGACAACAAAACGCAGACTCTAAAGAAGTAAAGGAATGTACCAGCGTCACAGGCAATGGTAGGGATGGAATTTGAACACAGATCTACTTGGACAACAAAGGCTGGTGCCTCGTCAGTACTCTAAATAGCAAACCAAAACATTGCTATGGACGCCTTAAATTTAAAAAGTTGAGTTATTTCATTTTTCTGTCCCTATCTTTCTTGTAATTTCATTACAGAATTTAACCTTCTCAGAAATGTGATACTTTAATACCACTGGCAACTAGTTTTCAAAGAAAGTCAAAGGTGCCTTTAATGAGCCCATGATGGTGTTGTTAAGTGTCATCGAGTTGGTTCCAACCCATAGCCCCCCAAAAAAACCCCTAAAAAACAAAAATTTAAATCAGGTTAGTTTTAAAACTTCTACTGCATAAATCTTTTCATTAAAGAAAAAGTTTTGCAAACAACTTTTGCAAAGTACAGCATGTGATAGCTGAGAGTTAGTCCGTATTTTCTTCGGAAGGCATGACTTGAAACAGAAAAGAATTAAACCCTCACTGTCACGGTGAAATACAAATAATAACAAGTCTTTAACAACAACTTCAGAACGCTGATAAATTCAGAACAATTATACTTTGCAGCTAGATTATGCGCCTTGACAGCAAAAACAATAAATTTGAACAACAACAAAAAGCACAGAAATGGGTGTTTTACCAAACTCCGTTTTCATCACTGCTTGTTCTTTTGCTGTGACGCTGAAGGGTCAGCAGCACTGGACTGCTATCCACAAAGTCAGCAGTTCAAACCCACCAGCTGCTCCTCAGAAACTTTATATACGAGGTCGCTGTGAGTGAGAACGGATTCAATGGCACATAACAACAACAAACCCCAAAGTAGCCTTGGAATTTTAGAAGATGCCC